AAGCTCTCTTTCCCGGCTCTCTGACCAACGTTAAAGCCCCACAGAAGTCACCGTGCCAACAAAGGGAGCGGAAATCTTCCTCGTCATCTGAGGATCGTAATAAAATGGTGAGTCTTTCGGAGGTGCTGGCATGGCACTGTAGAGAAATTGTGCGATTTCGCTGATCCCCTGTCCTGTGGAACAGAAAACTTTGGGAAGGAGGGACTCCAGCGACGATTGGGAAATTCCCGAGGGTCAGATCACCCTGGGTCAGAGGATAGGCTCCGGGTCCTTTGGAACGGTCTTTAAAGGAAAGTGGCATGGTAAGATCCTACCTAAAGTTTGGGGTTTAACTAGTTATAAAAAACCCAACTGATTATCAGTTCATAAGTGAATGTCAGAGTTCAACCAAAGCACTGAGCAGGATCTGCTCTGCCATTTGCTCTTCTCTACCTTTGGGTAAATGCGAAAGTTATCCGACTAAAGAAACCAGACACCAAGAGGTGAATGATATTTGAAAGTATATCATAAAACATCCAGACTCAGCAGCAGAGGGCGTATCCTTTTTATGAGAATTACGGTCATATTTTTATATTACAAATAAAGTAATAGCCAGTACAGCCACCTAGAGGTCTCTGGGTATAAAGTGGTTGGTTGCTTCCTGTTAGAGGAAAAGTCCGGTCAGCAAGGAATAATCAATGGATCATTATTTATACCTAAAACTAATATGTTAAGCTAATATTTAATGAATTCAGCGTTAATCAGTAAAAAAAATAAAAATCCATCATTTTTGTCGCAATCACTGAGTCTGGGAGCGGCCATTTTTGTCCATATATAGTAACCCCTCACTCCTGAAGTCTAGCGCCATTCGCAGGCATGGATGGACTGGGAATCCAGGGCTGTTGGCCAGCCTCATTCATTACTCAGGTTAATCATCTCGTTATCTCAAGAAATCAATAACCGTTTTCTCCTGATAATGAGATAACTATCCCGTTATCAGGAGAAAACAATGGTTTAACCATGATAATGAGATACTAATTATGATTATTAGGTGTGGGAAGGAGGATTTTAAATTCTCTCCTGGATTTAACAGGAAGCTAAAATTTGAGAAATAAAATCTTTCCTTTTCCTCAGAACTGCTGCATTGTTTTTGGTTTAGCTTTTAACTGCTTTGCTGTTAAATGACGGCCTTCTCTTGTAATGGATTTTATCTTTAGGAACTGTCTTGATTATACCATAGCAGCTCATTAGAAGTTATTTACTCTGTGACTGATGCCTCTTCCCTTTCCTCCCAGGTGATGTGGCTGTGAAGATGCTGAACGTCACCGCTCCCACTCCACAGCAGCTTCAGGCCTTTAAAAACGAAGTGGGAGTCCTCAGGTAACTCTGCTCCTTCTGATAAGTCAAATTATTTGGTTAGACTTTGCATTCAAATGCAAAACTAAAAACTATAGTTAAAAATAGGAAATAATCTTCACTTTATCTGTATAAACACAACATTTAAAATAACGTCTTTTTTTATTTCAGCGTTTTAAGAGGCTGAAAAGAAGACCTTTCTGTTTTGGGACATATATTAGAGCCAGCTTGGTTTAACAGGGCCAGCTGTGAAGCTGATTTATTGACTGTTAGGCCTTGTCGTTTGAAAAAGCGATCCCATGTAAGAGAAACAGGAAGAGATGGAGGGAAATCAGACGCTTTTTATCTCTTTATATTTCAATGTATTTTAGGTGCTCTAATATGAAGTGGTCGTGTTCAGAGGTTTTGCAGGCATTTTCTAAACTTGGCAATTTTCTGAAATGTACAACTTTTTTCTTTAAAATTCCCAGCCCATAAAGATCAATGCTAATAGTTTGGAGATGCTATGCTCTAATTTTTGGGCGATATTTCGACTTTTGTTTTTGTAATTTGAGGACTTTTTTTCCTATTCTGCAATTTTTTTTTTTTTTTTTACTATGCACAATTTTTATTTTTACATTGTACAGGTGCTGGTCATAAAATTAGAATATCATGAAAAAGTAGATTGATTTCAGTAATTCCATTTAAAAAGTGAAACTTGTATATTATATTCATACATTACATACAAACTCATATATTTCAGATGTTTATTTTGTTTAATTTTGATGATTACAAATGACAACAAATGAAAATCTCAAATTCATCATATCAGAAAATTAGAATATTACTGAAGACCAATAAAAACAAAGGATTTATAGAAATGTTGGCCAACTGAAAAGTATGAACATGAAAAGTATGAGCATGTACAGCACTCAGTATTTAGTTGGGCCTCCTTTGGCCTGTATTACTGCAGCAATGCGGCGTGGCATGGAGTCGATCAGTCTGTGGCACTGCTCAGGTGTTATGATAGCCCAGGTTGCTCTAATAGTGGCTTTTAGCTCTTCTGAATTGTTGGGTCTGGTGTATTGCATCTTCTTCTTCACAATACCCCATAGATTTTCTATGGGGTTAAGGTCAGGAGAGTTTGCTGGCCAATTAAGAACAGGGATACCATGGTCCTTCAACCAGGTACTGGTAGCTTTGGCACTGTGTGCAGGTGCCAAGTCCTGTTGGAAAATGAAATCTGCATCTCCAAAAAGTTGGTCAGCTGCAGGAAGCATGAAGTGCTCTAAAACTTCCTGGTATGTGGCTGCGTGGACCCTGGACCTCAGAAAACACAATGGACCAACACCAGCAGATGACATGGCACCCCAAACCATCACTGACTGTGGAAACTTTACACTGGACTTCAAGCAACGTGGATGAAGTGCCTCTCTTCTTTTCCTCCAGACTCTGGGACCTTGATTTCCAAAGGAAATGCAAAATTTACTTTCATCAGAGAACATGACTTTTGACCACTCACCAGCAGTCCAGTCCTGTTTCTCTTTAGCCCAGGCAAGACGCTTCTGACGCTGTCTGTGGTTCAAGAGTGGCTTGACACAAGGAATGCGACAGCAGAAACCCATGTCTTTCATACGTCTGTGTGTGGTGGTTCTTGAAGCACTCACTCCAGCTGCAGTCCACTCTTTGTGAATCTCCCCCACATTTTGAATGGGTTTTGTTTCACAATCCTCTCCAGGGTGCGGTTATCTCTCTTGCTTGTACACTTTTTTAGACCACATCTTTTCCTTCCCTTCGCCTCTCTATTAATGTGCTTGGACACTGAGCTCTGTGAACAGCCAGCCTCTTTAGCGATGACCTTTTGTGTCTTGCCCTCCTTGTGCAAGGTGTCGATGGTCGTCTTTTGGACAACTGTCAAGTCAGCAGTCTTCCCCATGATTGTGTAGCCTATAGAACTAGACTGAAAGACCATTTAAAGGCTTTTGCAGGTGGTTTGAGTTAATTAGCTGATTAGAGTGTGGCACCAGGGGCCATCAATTTTGAACCTTTTCACAATATTCTAATTTTCTGATATGATGAATTTGAGATTTTCATTTGTTGTCATTTGTAATCATCAGAATTAAACAAAATAAACATCTGAAATATATGAGTTTGTATGTAATGTATGAATATAATATACAAGTTTCACTTTTTAAATGGAATTACTGAAATCAATCTACTTTTTCATGATATTCTAATTTTATGACCAGCACCTGTATTTAGCATTGTTTTTTTTTTTTTTTTTGTTTCCTGTCTGGTTGCTGGGGTCTTGTTAAAGGTCTAATACTGACACCAAAGACTAATAATGTGGCAGAAAACCTTTAAGCTGGTTAAAATAAAATGTTTTAAATTTTAAACCCAAAGTTTGAGTATGTCTAAGCATTTAGCAGACGTCTGTGACCAAAGCGACTTACAAGGTAGACACAATGTTATAATGAGGAAGGCATTAGCGTGAAGGATCTTCTCTAAGGACCCACCCTGGCAGCCCAGCGGGACCAACCAGACCATCCTGTGTTGAGCTCTAACTCTTGAGCTAGCCAGGGGCTAGCCAACAATATCACTGTAATTGTATACACTCTATTGTTTTTGAAGGTAACTAAATATATTGTGATATATATCATGATTATAGCCCAACTATATTGTGGTATTAGATTTTCTTCATATCGCCCAGCCTTCTCACTCACCCAAATAAAAGGTCAACGTGTTAACAAGGCGTCGGATAATCTCACTTCCACAAAAACAACCCACCCCCCCAAAAAATGATCCATTTACAGCTTGACTATGTTTTGATTCATCAGGAAAACGCGTCACGTCAACATCCTGCTGTTCATGGGCTACACCACCAAGCCCCAGCTGGCCATTGTGACCCAGTGGTGCGAAGGCTCCAGCCTCTACCACCACCTGCACATCATCGAGACCAAGTTTGAGATGATCAAGCTGATCGACATCGCCCGGCAGACGGCTCAGGGCATGGAGTGAGTACCCACCTCTCAAACGCACGTGCTCACATTTCACCAGCAGGGTAAACTACATGCATTCTGTCTCCCCTTAGTTACCTGCACGCCAAGTCCATCATTCACAGAGACCTGAAGAGCAACAGTATCCTTGTTAGCTTCCGCTTTACTATCAATCTTTATAGATCTAAAAATACTAAAATATCTGTATTCTTTGGGGGAAGAAACTGTTTCCTTGACGTTGTGTCCAAGATATTTTCCTCCATGAGGATCTGACTGTAAAGATTGGTGACTTTGGTCTAGCCACAGTCAAGTCTCGCTGGAGTGGCTCCCACCAGTTTGAGCAGCTCTCTGGTTCCATACTTTGGATGGTGAGTGTTTGAAATGACCAATGAAGGCATTTTAGTGGACTCTAGTTTCTGATCAGGTGAAGAATGATTTGTCGGTTTGATATCACCAGGCTCCAGAGGTCATCAGGTTGCAGGACAAGAATCCCTACAGCTTCCAGTCAGATGTGTACGCCTTTGGCATTGTGCTCTATGAGCTCATGTCAGGAGCTCTCCCTTATTCCAACATCAACAACAGAGACCAGGTAACTCTTCATTGCATTAACTGCAAGAACTGTAAAGGCCACAAAAACTGGATCATCGTTTTTACGGCATTATAAAGGATTGTGTAATAAAACTGTAACCATGTAGTCAATAAGTTTATCTTAGTACCAATGAATCAGAAGAAAGAAATGCTAATTGTTCCTATTTACTTACGTTACAGCATGGAGGGCAACATCGCTAAAACCATCGTAATGTTCAAAGCCATTCCTCCTATGTAACCCCTTAGCTCCCCCCATCCGGCCCCGGGCCGTTTCTACGTCACAATTTGTTCCACGTCGAACAGGAAGCAAATCTGTAAACAAATCCAACATATTGTAGCTCTTTAGAATCTCAACTCGATTATAAGTAGGGCTGGGTATTGTTCAAAAATTTTCGGTTCCGGTACCAATACCGATACCTTCACTTCGATACCGGTTCCTGAACGATACTTTTTTTGATACCAGTTTTATAATATTAATTCGAAGAAAAAGAAAATTACACAACATAAAAAAGTACAAATCTTGAGTTTTATTTTAACCTCTGATTTTTCCATTTACATTTTTCCTCTTACATAAAAAAAAATTCAGTGTCTAATATTCACTGTAACATTGTGAGGACCTTTTTACTGAGCAGTTTTCCTTTAGAAAAATTACCATGTCTGACAAACAAGCCCGTTGAATGGGATCCTATTGACAGCGCACCGCTGGTATGTGGGGGTCTGAGCGGCTCCCACAGAAATATTGGAAGGCAGGATGAACTGACTGCACTGATGAAGTTTTCAGGTGGATTTTCCCGCTTAAAAACATAATAAAACTACTTTATTCCCACTGATCACAGCAAATATAGCTGCAAGGCAAATAAAGGATAGAGTAGCTCCGCCCAACGCGCGTCAGAGCCACTTTTGCAACGCGCAGCCAGAGCAGCAAAGCTTCTTCAGCCGCGCGTCAGAAGCTGGTACAAGCAGCAAAAATGAAGCAGCAGATGTGATTTTGCTGCTCCTGCTGCGTCCAGTTTGAAAGCAGCGTGATTCCCTCCGCTCTGGCTTTGCTCCGCCCACGGGCTGCTGAGAGGAGGATGGTGGCGCTGGCTGCGGTCCGCTCTTCTTGCAGTCAAACACCGAGCAACTTTCTGCTCTTAAATTGTTTCTGTGCACGATGTATTGCATTGCGCACTATTGGCATCAGTCTTAATAAAGTGAAGCCGCACTTTTGACCTGGGGGGCATTTTAAAGGGGTTCCACGACGCTGCAACCAGTTCACTACAGATACACAGGAACCCTGGCTGTAGGCGGGACCACCTGTGTATTTTTCCTGGATGACGCAATCACGTTAAGTGTTACAGCCAATCACCGAAACTTGGTACCGAAAGACGAGGCATGTTTCGATACTCTGTAGAACCGAAGCATTTCGGTCGGTACCATAAAAGAACCGATGTTCGGTACCCAGCCCTAAGTATAAGTCAATAAAAACTCAGATAACCGATGATCTGTAATCATATCAGAACTCGTTATTTTCACAACTTGTTTTCTTCTTCAGGCATATCGTGGCATATATGGCGTAATGATTGGGCCATTGGTTTAAGCGTGCAGGCACCAATCCGTGCGCACGATGGGTCAGGTATTCACAATTTAAACATAAAACTTGCGCACACAAAACCTGTCTGATAGACTCTAGACCCACTGTCGTCGCGTTAGACCCACTGTCGTCGCGTTCGGCCCGCTGTCCTCTCGCTCGGCCCGCTGTCCTCTCGCTCGGCCCGCTGTCGTCTCGCTCGGCCCACTAAGCTCGGCCCGCTGTCGTCGCGCTCGGCCCGCTGTCGTCGCTCGGCCCGCTGTCCTCTCGCTCGGCCCGCTGTCCTCTCGCTCGGCCCACTAAGCTCGGCCCGCTGTCGTCGCTCGGCCCACTAAGCTCGGCCCGCTGTCGTCGCGCTCGGCCCGCTGTCGTCGCTCGGCCCGCTGTCCTCTCGCTCGGCCCACTAAGCTCGGCCCGCTGTCCTCTCGCTCGGCCCACTAAGCTCGGCCCGCTGTCGTCGCGCTCGGCCCGCTGTCGTCGCTCGGCCCGCTGTCCTCTCGCTCGGCCCGCTGTCCTCTCGCTCGGCCCGCTGTCCTCTCGCTCGGCCCGCTGTCCTCTCGCTTGGCCCGCTGTCCTCTCGCTCGGCCCACTAAGCTCGGCCCGCTGTCGTCGCGCTCGGCCCGCTGTCGTCGCTCGGCCCGCTGTCGTCGCTCGGCCCGCTGTCCTCTCGCTCGGCCCACTAAGCTCGGCCCGCTGTCCTCTCGCTCGGCCCGCTGTCCTCTCGCTCGGCCCGCTGTCCTCTCGCTCGGCCCGCTGTCCTCTCGCTCGGCCCGCTGTCGTCGCGCTCGGCCCGCTGTCGTCGCGCTCGGCCCGCTGTCGTCTCGCTCGGCCCGCTGTCCTCTCGCTCGGCCCGCTGTCCTCTCGCTCGGCCCGCTGTCCTCTCGCTCGGCCCACTAAGCTCGGCCCGCTGTCCTCTCGCTCGGCCCGCTGTCCTCTCGCTCGGCCCGCTGTCCTCTCGCTCGGCCCACTAAGCTCGGCCCGCTGTCGTCGCGCTCGGCCCGCTGTCGTCGCGCTCGGCCCGCTGTCGTCGCGCTCGGCCCGCTGTCCTCTCGCTCGGCCCGCTGTCCTCTCGCCCGGCCCGCTGTCCTCTCGCTCGGCCCACTAAGCTCGGCCCGCTGTCGTCGCGCTCGGCCCGCTGTCCTCTCGCTCGGCCCGCTGTCCTCTCGCTCGGCCCGCTGTCCTCTCGCTCGGCCCACTAAGCTCGGCCCGCTGTCGTCGCTCGGCCCGCTGTCCTCTCGCTCGGCCCACTAAGCTCGGCCCGCTGTCCTCTCGCTCGGCCCACTAAGCTCGGCCCGCTGTCGTCGCGCTCGGCCCGCTGTCCTCTCGCTCGGCCCACTAAGCTCGGCCCGCTGTCCTCTCGCTCGGCCCGCTGTCCTCTCGCTCGGCCCGCTGTCGTCGAGCTCGGCCCGCTGTCGTCGCGCTCGGCCCGCTGTCGTCGCGCTCGGCCCGCTGTCCTCTCGCTCGGCCCGCAGTCCTCTCGCTCGGCCTGCTGTCCTCTCGCTCGGCCCGCTGTCGTCTCGCTCGGCCCACTAAGCTCGGCCCGCTGTCGTCGCGCTCGGCCCGCTGTCCTCTCGCTCGGCCCACTAAGCTCGGCCCCGCTGTCCTCTCGCTCGGCCCGCTGTCCTCTCGCTCGGCCCGCTGTCCTCGATACTCTGTAGAACCGAAGCATTTCGGTCGGTACCATAAAAGAACCGATGTTCGGTACCCAGCCCTAAGTATAAGTCAATAAAAACTCAGATAACCGATGATCTGTAATCATATCAGAACTCGTTATTTTCACAACTTGTTTTCTTCTTCAGGCATATCGTGGCATATATGGCGTAATGATTGGGCCATTGGTTTAAGCGTGCAGGCACCAATCCGTGCGCACGATGGGTCAGGTATTCACAATTTAAACATTAAACGTGCGCACACAAAACCTGTCTGATAGACTCTAGACCCACTGTCGTCGCGTTAGACCCACTGTCGTCGCGTTCGGCCCGCTGTCCTCTCGCTCGGCCCGCTGTCGTCTCGCTCGGCCCACTAAGCTCGGCCCGCTGTCGTCGCGCTTGGCCCGCTGTCGTCGCTCGGCCCGCTGTCCTCTCGCTCGGCCCACTAAGCTCGGCCCGCTGTCCTCTCGCTCGGCCCGCTGTCCTCTCGCTCGGCCCGCTGTCCTCTCGCTCGGCCCGCTGTCGTCGCGCTCGGCCCGCTGTCGTCGCGCTCGGCCCGCTGTCGTCGCTCGGCCCGCTGTCCTCTCGCTCGGCCCGCTGTCCTCTCGCTCGGCCCGCTGTCCTCTCGCTCGGCCCGCTGTCCTCTCGCTCGGCCCGCTGTCCTCTCGCTCGGCCCACTAAGCTCGGCCCGCTGTCGTCGCGCTCGGCCCGCTGTCGTCGCTCGGCCCGCTGTCCTCTCGCTCGGCCCACTAAGCTCGGCCCGCTGTCGTCGCGCTCGGCCCGCTGTCGTCGCTCGGCCCGCTGTCCTCTCGCTCGGCCCACTAAGCTCGGCCCGCTGTCCTCTCGCTCGGCCCGCTGTCCTCTCGCTCGGCCCGCTGTCCTCTCGCTCGGCCCGCTGTCCTCTCGCTCGGCCCGCTGTCGTCGCGCTCGGCCCGCTGTCGTCGCGCTCGGCCCGCTGTCGTCTCGCTCGGCCCACTAAGCTCGGCCCGCTGTCCTCTCGCTCGGCCCGCTGTCCTCTCGCTCGGCCCGCTGTCCTCTCGCTCGGCCCGCTGTCCTCTCGCTCGGCCCGCTGTCGTCGCGCTCGGCCCGCTGTCGTCGCGCTCGGCCCGCTGTCCTCTCGCTCGGCCCGCTGTCGTCGCTCGGCCCGCTGTCCTCTCGCTCGGCCCGCTGTCCTCTCGCTCGGCCCGCTGTCCTCTCGCTCGGCCCGCTGTCCTCTCGCTCGGCCCGCTGTCCTCTCGCTCGGCCCACTGTCGTCGCGCTCGGCCCGCTGTCGTCGCGCTCGGCCCGCTGTCGTCTCGCTCGGCCCGCTGTCCTCTCGCTCGGCCCGCTGTCCTCTCGCTCGGCCCGCTGTCCTCTCGCTCGGCCCACTAAGCTCGGCCCGCTGTCGTCGCGCTCGGCCCGCTGTCGTCGCGCTAGGCCCGCTGTCGTCGCGCTCGGCCCGCTGTCCTCTCGCTCGGCCCGCTTTCCTCTCGCTCGGCCCGCTGTCCTCTCGCTCGGCCCACTAAGCTCGGCCCGCTGTCGTCGCGCTCGGCCCGCTGTCCTCTCGCTCGGCCCGCTGTCCTCTCGCTCGGCCCGCTGTCCTCTCGCTCGGCCCACTAAGCTCGGCCCGCTGTCGTCGCTCGGCCCGCTGTCCTCTCGCTCGGCCCACTAAGCTCGGCCCGCTGTCCTCTCGCTCGGCCCACTAAGCTCGGCCCGCTGTCGTCGCGCTCGGCCCGCTGTCCTCTCGCTCGGCCCACTAAGCTCGGCCCGCTGTCCTCTCGCTCGGCCCGCTGTCCTCTCGCTCGGCCCGCTGTCGTCGAGCTCGGCCCGCTGTCGTCGCGCTCGGCCCGCTGTCCTCTCGCTCGGCCCGCTGTCCTCTCGCTCGGCCCGCTGTCCTCTCGCTCGGCCCGCTGTCGTCTCGCTCGGCCCACTAAGCTCGGCCCGCTGTCGTCGCGCTCGGCCCGCTGTCCTCTCGCTCGGCCCACTAAGCTCGGCCCCGCTGTCCTCCCGCTCGGCCCGCTGTCCTCTCGCTCGGCCCGCTGTCGTCGAGCTCGGCCCGCTGTCGTCGCGCTCGGCCCGCTGTCGTCGCGCTCGGCCCGCTGTCCTCTCGCTCGGCCCGCTGTCCTCTCGCTCGGCCCGCTGTCCTCTCGCTCGGCCCGCTGTCCTCTCGCTCGGCCCGCTGTCCTCTCGCTCGGCCCGCTGTCGTCTCGCTCGGCCCACTAAGCTCGGCCCGCTGTCGTCGCGCTCGGCCCGCTGTCCTCTCGCTCGGCCCACTGTCCTCTCGCTCGGCCCACTAAGCTCGGCCCGCTGTCGTCGCGCTCGGCCCGCTGTCGTCGCGCTCGGCCCGCTGTCGTCGCGCTCGGCCCGCTGTCGTCTCGCTCGGCCCGCTGTCCTCTCGCTCGGCCCACAAAGCTTGGCCCGCTGTCGTCGCGCTCGGCCCGCTGTCGTCGCTCGGTCCGCTGTCCTCTCGCTCGGCCCGCTGTCCTCTCGCTCGGCCCGCTGTCGTCGCGCTCGGCCCGCTGTCGTCGAGCTCGGCCCGCTGTCCTCTGGCTCGGCCCGCTGTCGTCTCGCTCGGCCCGCTGTCGTCTCGCTCGGCCCGCTGTCGTCTCGCTCGGCCCGCTGTCCTCTCGCTCGGCCCACTAAACTCGGCCCGCTGTCGTCGCGCTCGGCCCGCTGTCCTCTCGCTCGGCCCGCTGTCCTCTCGCTCGGCCCGCTGTCGTCGCGCTCGGCCCGCTGTCGTCGCGCTCGGCCCGCTGTCCTCTCGCTCGGCCCGCTGTCCTCTCGCTCGGCCCGCTGTCGTCGCGCTCGGCCCACTAAGCTTGGCCCGCTAAGCTCGGCCCGCTGTCTTCGCGCTCGGCCCGCTGTCCTCTCGCTCGGCCCGCTGTCCTCTCGCTCGGCCCACTAAGCTCGGCCCGCTGTCGTCGCGCTCGGCCCGCTGTCGTCGCGCTCGGCCCGCTGTCGTCGCGCTCGGCCCGCTGTCGTCTCGCTCGGCACGCTGTCCTCTCGCTCGGCCCACTAAGCTCGGCCCGCTGTCCTCTCGCTCGGCCCGCTGTCCTCTCGCTCGGCCCGCTGTCGTCGCGCTCGGCCCGCTGTCCTCTCGCTCGGCCCGCTGTCCTCTCGCTCGGCCCGCTGTCGTCGCCCTCGGCCCACTAAGCTTGGCCCGCTAAGCTCGGCCCGCTGTCGTCGCGCTCGGCCCGCTGTCCTCTCGCTCGGCCCGCTGTCCTCTCGCTCGGCCCGCTGTCGTCGCGCTCGGCCCGCTGTCGTCGCGCTCGGCCCGCTGTCCTCTCGCTCGGCCCACTAAGCTCGGCCCGCTGTCGTCGCGCTCGGCCCGCTGTCGTCGCGCTCGGCCCGCTGTCGTCGCGCTCGGCCCGCTGTCGTAGCGCTCGGCCCGCTGTCGTCTCGCTCGGCCCGCTGTCGTCTCGCTCGGCCCACTAAGCTCGGCCCGCTGTCGTCGCGCTCGGCCCGCTGTCGTCGCTCGGCCCGCTGTCCTCTCGCTCGGCCCGCTGTCGTCGCGCTCGGCCCGCTGTCGTCGCGCTCGGCCCGCTGTCCTCTCGCTCGGCCCGCTGTCCTCTCGCTCGGCCCGCTGTCGTCGCGCTCGGCCCGCTGTCGTCGCGCACGGCCCGCTGTCCTCTCGCTCGGCCCGCTGTCGTCGCGCTCGGCCCACTAAGCTTGGCCCGCTAAGCTCGGCCCGCTGTCGTCGCGCTCGGCCCGCTGTCCTCTCGCTCGGCCCGCTGTCCTCTCGCTCGGCCCGCTGTCGTCGCACTCGGCCCGCTGTCGTCGCGCTCGGCCCGCTGTCCTCTCGCTCGGCCCGCTGTCCTCTCGCTCGGCCCGCTGTCCTCTCGCTCGGCCCGCTGTCCTCTCGCTCGGCCCGCTGTCGTCGCGCTCGGCCCACTAAGCTTGGCCCGCTAAGCTCGGCCCGCTGTCGTCGCGCTCGGCCCGCTGTCCCGCTGTTTTTTTACATTCCAATCAAAGCATTCGTTGCAAATACTACATCCGGTTTTATGAAAAAGTCCCCAAGAGGAGGATTTTCATTAAAACAGAACCAGATGTTCTCAACATGAACAAGTGTAGTGAGTCTGAGACATTGACTATGAATTATACACAAAATATAGCATATTAAAAACGGCATTTTTAATGGAATGTCGGACATATTTGAGGTGACATAGGACAATTTGTGTAAAACTGACAGTGTGTAAACATACCTCCATAAACTAAAATATCTTAGAGATGCATCACAAGCAGCTTGGATTTATATTATTTTACCGGCCGATGGTGTTTGGGTTTGCAATCCGTTTTGTTCTATCTATTAGAAGCTGGGAGCTAAGGGGTTAAATCAGTCACCAACACAGCAGGTTATTTAATTTAGCCCGATCATGTTGCTCACAGCTAAGTTTGCTGTTAATGTTTGCTTTTAGCTGGTTAACCATGTTTCAGTTAAACGTGTTTCAGTTAACCATGTTTCAGTTAGCCGTGTTTCAGTTAACCATGTTTCAGTTAACCATGTTTCAGTTAGCCGTGTTTCAGTTAACCATGTTTCAGTTAACCATGTTTCAGTTAGCCGTGTTTCAGTTAACCGTGTTTCAGTTAACCGTGTTTCAGTTAACCATGTTTCAGTTAACCATGTTTCAGTTAACCGTGTTTCAGTTAACCATGTTTCAGTTAACCGTGTTTCAGTTAACCGTGTTTCAGTTAACAGTGTTTCAGTTAACCATGTTTCAGTTAACCGTGTTTCAGTTAACCATGTTTCAATCTCCCTCAGATCATCTTCATGGTGGGGCGAGGTTATCTCTCCCCAGACCTCAGCAAAGTTCGCAGCAACTGCCCCAAGGCCATGAAGAGACTGATGGCAGATTGCCTGAAGAAGAAGAGAGAGGAGCGACCTCTCTTCCCTCAGGTGGGCGCCGTTTGGGCCTGGAAGCCATTTTGTGATCTAGCTTCGTTATGGCAGATCAGGAGACGCAGTCAGGTCTATACCCCCGTAAACCTGAGCCATGCTAACTATAAGCTTCACCAAGAAAGGAAAGCTTTAGACCTGAGGAGACGATGCTTTGAAGGAAAACTCAGGCTTATATTCGGGGTATTGTGCTGACAGACAAAGGCTGAAAGTAACATTTAAGTTGGAGACGATGAATCGGATACTTTGGTCTGTCACAGCCTAATAAAACAAATATTTGACCCTGAAAATGAGGTTTACAGTTGAAATGCAAAGTTGGGCTAAAGTTTGTAAAAATGTGAAGGTGGATTCATGTTTTTATTATTAAGTTTAAAAATATATATAAATATATAGAATTTCAATAAAAAAAAAAAGTAAATGTTCAATTCAATTCAGTTTATTTATATAGCGCCAAATTCACAACACATGTCATCTCAAGGCACTTTACAGTTCAACCAGATCATACAGTCAAATTGATACAAAGTTTTCTATCTAAGGAAAACCAGTTGATTGCATTGACTCATTGACTCAAATACAATCCCCCACACTAAGCATGCTTGTAGCGACAGTGGAGAGGAAAAACTCCCTTTTAACAGGAAGAAACCTCCAGCAGAACCAGGCTCAGTGTGAGCGGCCATCTGCCGAGGCCGACTGGGGTTCAAGGAGACAGAAGCAGAGATACAAAAAGCAGCTGTAAAAGGCGGCCCCGTCCAGGAAACACACAGCCAGGCAGACGAGCTCCAAGGCAGCTCCCATGCCAGAGGACGAAGAGAGCACATCCACTCAGTCACGGTCAGAGAAACAGGACCACACTGGAAAACAGGCCGATCTCCAACATCTATTAACAAGGGTGTTGATAGAAGCAGCACAGCTGATGTTTCTTTCCAGGATGACGTCACAGCCAAACAGGAACAGACGAGGCAAAGCTACTCTGAGGAAAAGCAGAGAGAGCAGAAGGTTAGAGATTGAACTAACAGATTCTGCAGAATAGGAGAACAGAGAGAGAATGAAGCAGAATGATGAAATGGGGGTCCCTATGTCCTCCAAAAGTCTAAGCCTATAGCAGCATAACTATAGAGATAGCTCAGGATAACCTGAGCCACCCTAACTATAAGCTTTATCAAAAATGAAAGTTTTAAGCCTAGCCTTAAAAGTAGACAGGGTGTCTGCCTCACGGACTAAAACTGGTAGTTGTTTCCACAGGAGAGGAGCCTGATAACTAAAAGATCTGCCTCCCATTCTGCTTTTAGAAATTCTAGGAACCACTAGTAAACCTGCAGATTGAGAGCGAAGTGCTCTGTTAGGAACATAAGGAACAATCAGATCTCTGATATAAGATGGAGCTTGGCCATTTAAGGCTTTATATGTGAGAAGGAGGATTTTAAATTCTATTCTTGATTTAACAGGAAGCCAATGAAGAGAAGCCAGGATAGGAGAGATATGATCTCTCTTTTTCATTTTCATTAGAACTCTGGCTGCAGCATTTTGGATCAGCTGAAGGCTTTTAACTACAGTTTGTGGACTTCCTGATAGTAAAGAATTACAATAGTCCAGCCTTGAAGTAACAAATGCATGGACTAGTTTCTCAGCATCACCCCTGGACAGGATATTTCTAATTTTTGCAATGTTCCTCAGATGAAAGAAGGAAATTCTAGAAACCTCTTTGATATGGGATTTAAATGACAGGTCCTGATCAAAAATAACACCAAGATGTTTTACTTTATTATCTGAAATCAGTTTAATCCCATCCAAATGAAGTGACTGGCTAATCAGTTTCTTTTTCAGAGACTCTGGTCCAAAGACTATAACTTCTGTTTTGTCTGCATTCAGAAGCAGAAAATTAAGAGTCATCCAGGTTTTTATGTCTTCAAGACATGCCTGTAATCTATGTAATGGGTTAGCTTCATCTGGATTTATAGACAGATATAGCTGGGTATCATCAGCATAACAGTGGAAATTAATCCCATGCTGTCTAATAATTCTACCAATTGGGAGCATGTATAAAGTAAAGAGAATTGGTCCTAGCACTGATCCCTGTGGTACTCCACAGGTAACCTTTGAGCGTGTTGAAGATCTATCATTAACATGAACAAACTGAATTCGATCAGATAGATAAGATTTAAACCAGTCTAGTGCTGTTCCTTTAATTCCAACAAAATATTCAAGTCTTTCTAAAAGAATATTATGGTCAACTGGATCAAATGCAGCACTAAGATCCAGCAGGACGAGCACAGATACAAGTCCATTATCTGAGGCCATGAGAATATCATTAGTGACTTTCACCAGAGCTGTTTCAGTGCTATGATGAGCTCTAAAGCCAGACTGAAACTCTTCAAAAAGTTCATTATGGTGGAAGTGATCGCAAACTTGTTTGGCAACTACTTTCTCAAGAATTTTGGATAAGAAAGGAAGATTGGATATAGGTCTATAATTGACCAAGTCATCTGGGTCAAGAGACGGTTTCTTAAGCAGAGGTTTAATTACAGCAATCTTAAAAGCTTTAGGTACATATCCCTGTAACAGAGATAGATTAATCACATCTAAAATGGAGGAGGAGATCAAAGGGAATACCTCCTTAAATAACCTGGTTGGAACTGGATCTAACATACAAGTTGAAGGCTTAGATGAAGACAATAATTTTGCTAATTCAGAGAGTTCAACTGGATCAAAGCAGTCTAAACCCGGTTCAGATTCCATGACTACCTCAGGTACAATCGCGGATAGAGGAGTGCTTATGATCTTATTTTTAATAAGATCAATCTTATTTATAAAGAATCCCATAAAATCATTGCTGCTAAGAGCAGGTGGAATGGACGGTTCAACAGAGCTATGGCTCTGGGTGAGTTTGGCAACTGTATTAAAAAGAAATCTAGGATTATTCTTATTCTCCTCTATTAATGAGGAGAAGTATGCTGCTCTTGCTTTACAAAGGGTCCTCTTATACAGCAGTAAACCATTTTTCCAGACTAGGAAGGACTCTCGCAGGCCTGTGGAGCGATATTTTCTCTCCAGTTTCCTAGCATTTTGCTTCAAAGTACGCAGCTCTGCATTAAACCAAGGAGCAAGCTTTATATTTTTTAACGGTTTTCATTTTCAAAGGAGCTGCGTTGTCTAAGGCAATACGCAGAGAACTAGCAACCCCCTCAACAAAATCATCAACCTGTGAAGGGGAATAAGCTAAGCTTTTGCACTCTGCAGCACTGCTCAGTGACACAGAGGAGAGAGAAAGTGAAGCAGATTCTTTAAAATTTATAACTGCACTATCTGATAAAGATCTACTAAAATTGAACCTTCTTTTGGGGGAGGAGAACTCTGTTAAAGTAATCCTGAAGGTTATTAGAAAGTGGTCAGAGAGGACAGGGTTGTGAGGAAATACTGTTATTTCTTCACATTCTATGCCGTATGTCAGCACAAGATCCAAAGTATGAAGAGGAGAAGCGTGGGACTATTTCACATTATTGAACAAAGCCAATAGTGTCCTAAGATAGGCATTAAAGGCTGCACTTAAGCAATCGCGCATCATGACCCCCCATGACATTGGATGTATAAAATCTACCCACCTAAGTCACATGTACACCCTTTTGACATTATTTAATACCAAATCTCTAGAAAGGAACTCAGAAAACTCATCTAAAATTCAGAGTAAGGACCTGGTGTGATCGATAACAAAGGATACAAAACAGAAGAGTATTCATTGCCTTGAAATTTGGATCAGGAAATTAAGGGTTAAAATGTTCAATAAGAGTTGTAGGGAATTATTGTTTTGGGATAATCATTAAGTCAGACTCGAAATTGTTGCTCACTCCTCCTCATCGCCAGAAACTTTCTTCTGGGGATGTTGGAAAATTAAATAGCTTGAAGGAGTTGCCTCCTAAACAATTATGCCACATAATCCTCTTGCTGCAGCCAGGTATCTGTAAGCGAATAACAAGTCAAAGTGATATCGACAATCAATGTCATTAACTAGTGAGAACGTATAAGAGAGAAAGTAGATCGTTATGTTAGAACAGACCAGAAATTTAATAGTTTTTAAACTTTTTTCCCCAATTGGAGTTAATATTGATTTTAATTAGAATTATAAATGATTTACTCCTTGGGAATCTTTGCAAATTTATTAGATTTATGGTCCGTACTAAGGCCAAGACACTTCAGTTAATGGAGTATAAACAGAGTGGAAACAGTAGAGAAGCTGCAGAGATGTGTGTGTTAAACTACAACTCTGCTTCCTGGTCTCTGTGCACCCTGGGTGTCAGGTTTATGGAGACCTAATAAAATGGGCCATTCCTAGAAAGAAGAGCTGCACCAATCCAAAGGTTGGGATGAGGATGCCGTCCATCCTCCGAATCAGACAGTGTAGCTTTCCCCAAAGGATTGGCCAATTAATTAATAGTAGCACACGTTTGTTTTCATTACAGTGGACACCTAACCTAGACAACCAGCTAATTGAATGACGGCAAAGCGGGGCTAAACATGTCTATCACTGTTCAGTTATCAGGGAGCGGGACCCAGAGAAATTATTACGTGATCCGACATTATTTTTTGGCAAACTTACACATTTCGCACCGAAGCAACACGAATTTTTAGTGACCATCGTCACTCCGGCTTAACCGGTTGTCATTAACTACCAAGCAACGTAGAATAAACAATCTTACTGAGTATTTAACTCTATCATCCCCTATAGCCAGTAGTTGCAGGGTAGGTTTTGATGTCAGTCCCGTCTTCCTGGCCCCCGCAAATCACTCTCAGCGATCTATGGGTTGCCCCTGTGTGAGTTCCTCTAATGGCCGTGATCTCGGTTCTGAACCTATGGAGACTGCCAATCAACCAAGTCTGGTAGCTTCTCAGTGGTGGGTTTGTCACACGAGTGGGTGAAAACCACGGTTTCATGCAACATGACAACGGGTTGGGTGTATTGACCAGTGGGCAGAGATCCACGACTACGCTTTCTGCGTACAGTTACCCAATCGCCTGGCTGCTCAGGCACTTTTGGAGGACAGCTACGTGGGGGGCCTACTTCAACAGCCTGAAGCCTGGATTCTAACTCTGACACCCTCGCCTCCAAAGCTACAAAAATACTACACTTATTACACATCCCATTATCACTAAAGGAGGCAGAGGAATAACTGAACATCTGACACAGAGAGCAGGAGAGAGGAGAGGAAGAAGTAAGAGTTGGAAAAGAGTCAAGGGAGGGAGAGAGAGAAGCCATAGCAATGCTAAGCTAGCGCTAGCCTAGGCTAGCTACTTCTTGCTATCAGAAATAAAACCGTGTGAAACTGACAAGTGCTCAGTAGAAAAGTGCAGCAGAAGGTGCTATGTTTTAAAGTAGTCAGTTAGAGTTACTTAGATACAGAGATGTTCAAATGCAAAGATAAATGAAAAAATGTTGCTTGTTTTTTTTTTAAATCTGAAGTTTTTTTTAACCATCTTTAGTTAAGTTATTTTGACACAATCCTCTCACAGTGGGCGGGTGCTTCCTCTGGTTCTACTTGATCCCTAATCTTCATTTTATCTTCATATTTTGGGTTGATTTTTTATTTAACACATGGTGGTAAAGTGGAAAGCAGTGCAGGCGTCACAGGAGAAGAAATCCCAGCTGGACTGGATGTTTTCTGCATCTGATGGTTCTCCTCATGCATGTCTGGCTTTTTCTCCAGTTTTAGCTGCTAAAATTAGCATTCCAGGTTCATTTGAGATGATTTGGCATGAATGGTTGTATAAATGCATTCTGAACAGTGTGTAGTGGTCTAAGATGGGATGACTTTCTATTCTCTCAGATTCTGGCCTCTATTGAGCTGCTGGCTCGTTCATTACCCAAAATCCACCGCAGCGCCTCGGAGCCTTCCCTAAACCGAGCCGGCTTTCAGACGGAAGACTTCAGTCTGTACTCCTGTGCTTCACCTAAAACCCCCATTCAAGCTGGAGGATACGGTGAGCTCCTAGTTTCTCTATTGAACTATTGATTTTAATGTCTAACGGTTAATATTTATCAGGTGAAAATGGAAATGATGTCTGGTGTGCCATGAAACTGCTGGAACAGATGCTGGTATTTTAAAACACTGTTGCTCTTCTGCTTGCATCATTCATCATTAAAGAAACATGCTGCTTGGAGAAAATATACATGAAAATCAAGGGACAGGGTCAAAGTGCTACCTTTAGCTCTGCAAGGCTCTGAATGCCTAACGCAGCAAATTCGCCGGACGCGTAGCAGCGCATCAGTGCAGCAAAGCTGAATGTTTGAGCTACGCATGACTCAGCTTTTCATTTCAAACGGCAAACTAATATTCTCGTCCAACAGCAGTATTATGAGACGCAACGCTGTCCCTAATTTAGGATAAATTTCTAATTTCAGACACGTATACTCTCCAGTTTCCATCTTCTATTTTTTCTACGATGCCTAAAGTTATCAACGCCGGAACAGTTGTGACATGCTAACAACATACATATTTGATTCTCATCAGGTCGGTCAAGATGCTGATTTTTAGGTGATCATATATCACTTATAAGTTCAAAACTTTCACATTTCATACTCTTTGATTTACTTATCTCAAAAAGCTGGACTCTGCTCAGAGCCCCGCTGCTGTGGAGCGTTCTATTCAGCGTCTTGTGTAAATTTCAGTTTTCAAACGTGTGCCGCTTTGCTGCATGGTTGCACTTGTGGTGTATTTACTGCCTAAATGACTTCAGCAATGGAAAATACTTTCCGCTGCAATCATATTTATTTCACAGATATTTGTATCTCATAATTGTATGCAGAGGTGTCCAAAGTACCGTATTTTCACGACCATAAGGCGCACCGTACTAAAAGGCGCAGTCTCAGTAATGTGTGCCATTACTGTATTTAACACACACATAAGGCGCACCGGACTATAGGGCGCGTTTTTTATATACAGGTACATGTCCTCTACTACCTTTAAATACCTCTACTGCGTATTTAAAAATACAGCGGGGGCAAAACTGAGTATGACTGTGCTTTATTCATGTATTTATTACAAAGTATTAATCAAACCTGGGAGCTGGCCGTGAGAGATGACAGATCGCTGTGATCACTCCTAAATTAACTTAAAATCCTGAAACCTGCCGACGGAATATGTTCGCTTTTATTACCGGTATCCTGGTGCCTGCAGTTTAAATTATTTAGATGAAAAACACCTGCCAGCCACCGCATGAACCCGGAGGCTGCCCAGCCTAGAGGCTGCTGATGAAGGGATTTCTACTGTCGGCGCACCGCTGGTATGTGGGGGTCTGAGCGCCTCCGACAGAAATAGATAATCTGGATGAACTGACTGCAATTATTAAGTTTTCAGGTGGACTTTCTCACTTAAAAACATATTAAAACTACTTTATTCCCCCTGATCACAGCAAATATAGCTGCAAGATTTAGATTATTTAGATGAAAAAACACCTGCCAGCCGCCGCGGTGAAACCGGAGGAGACCCGGCCCAGAGGCTGCTGTTGAATTAAGTTTTCAGGTAGAAAAATAGAGCGGGAGCAAAACTGAGTATGATTGTGCTTTATTCATGTATTTATTACAAAGTATTAATCAAACCCATCAAAGTCATCATCCTCTGTTTCTGAATTAAACAGCTGCGCTAAATCAGACATGCCAATTTCCCATTCTTCGCTGTCAGTCACTTTCCGTGCAGCGCGGCTCCTCAGAAATAATACCGGCTTTTGCGAAAGCTTGAACAACAGAGCCAGCAGACACGTTAGTCCAAGCATCAACAATCCACCCGCTAACGGTGGCGTAACTTGCCCGGCGCTGCCTTCCACTTACGGTGAAACTGTGGTCTCCGTCTGTCATCCATCGCTCCCACGCCGCTCGCAGCCTTACTTTGAACGGCCGCTTCACACCGATGTCGAGCGGTTGAAGTTCCTTTGTCAGACCCCCCGGGATAACGGCGAGCACAGCGTCCATTTGATTCATCTTTTTTTTCACATCAGCTGTGAGATGGGCACGCAGTCACAGATTAACTGCGATGGTGATGCGTGGAAAAAACCACCTGGTCTCCTCACATACACCTGCCTCAGCCACGCTTTCATCATCTCCTCATCCATCCAGCCTTTTTCATTTGCGTTAATATCATATGTCATCAGAGCGCTGTGTCTGTCTCGCTGTCAGCTCCCAGATCAGCTTCTCTGATTGGTTGATGCGGCGCGTCCAGCAGCAAAACTTAAATTTTTCCATCTCGAGCAGCAGCAGCGCGTTGGCGGTGCGTCAGATGCTTAAACGCTCCAGACGCGCTGCGCCTGCTGCTCAAAACGCGCTGCGGGACCTTTTGCTGCACCTATACGCGCATCAACCATTGACTTTGCATGTAAACTCGCTGCTTCTGCTGCACCTGCTGGGTCCGGTTCACACCGATGTCGAGAGGTTGAACAGCGAGCACAGCGTTAATTTGTTTCCCCATGTTTTTCACATCAGCTGTGAGATGGGCACGCATGGAGTTACATATTAACAGCGATGGTGATGAGTGGAAAAAAAACACCTGGTCTCCTTACATTCAGCCACTCTTTCATCATCTCCTCAATGAGGTGGTCTCAAAAGTCGCAGTTACAACACACATAAGGCGCACCGCACCAAAGGGCGCACCGCACATTTTGAGGGAAAAAAAAGACGTTTAAGTGCGCCTTATAGTCGTGAAAATACGGTATTCATGTTTATTACTCCTGTATAAATCATACTGTTCAAAAACACTTTTGTAGAAGTTTGAGGATCAACTTCAGCTTTTTACTCCAGTAAAAGTGTAAAAGTAACATTTTTTAAAACTACTTAAAATGTAATAGTAAAAGCAATGCAGTAAAAACTTTTAAGGTCAGAAGCTTTACTGCTCTACCCTATCAAAAGAAATTTTCTATAATTCTGGATGATAACTTTCTTACTTCATTTTCTTTGTTTCATAATTAATGGTAACAGTGTCACAGTTAACTTTGCATCATCTTGAAAAACTATTTGTTTTGGTATGTGGGGAGCATCAAGTTGGGGCAGCACCGAGTCCAACCACAAATAAATAAATTGTCTGGATAAAACGAATTATTTTAATGTTGTTTTTTTTTAGTATCATCAGTTGCTTAAATGAAGCAAAACTAACAAGTATAAAGTGGATACTTGACACCTCTGATTGTATGTTGACTTTTAATGATTAACAAAATATGACAGTAGGCATTTTTCTGTCGAAGTTTAAATTAGTACAAAAAGATATTTGCTTTAATAGAAACACGCCGATTTTGAGGGAAAAACATTTTTTTGTTTAATAAATAATTTGTGGTTGGATCCATATTAGTGCCGTTTGTAAAGTTAGGCAGTCAACCGTTATTCATAGTATTCATGGTTGTTCAGCAAGTTTTAAGAGATAAATAAGGGCCTCATTGTTTCCATTACATTTGTTCGCTGTCACTCACTCATTTATAAAAAAATTTAAAAAAAAGTTCCACACTAAATATTTAGATTGTTAAATATTTAGCTAAATTGATTGCTCTGTGATTTGGAGCATATATTTTAAAAGCAATACCATATTTTCTCAGACTATTAACATCTCACTAAGCCACTGATCTGTACTGAACTACACCGCCAAACCTGTAGGGGGAGCTCTACAGGCCCTTAGAGTAGGGAGGAAGAGGAAGGCTAGCTCCCATTAGCTTGTTGTTTCGCAGCAGTAAGAGCTTCTAATGAAAGACGAAGCTTCTTCAGTTCTTTTATTTTATTTTTTAGCCCTGCAGGGATTATTTCATTGGTTCCAGAACTTTAATGCAGGAAAAAATGTCAAAATGTGTGAATTGGGGATGTTCCTGCTGCTAGCAGGTTCTAAATAAAAATGATCACCTTCTCCTTTGATTATCACATTTGACTTCTGCCCCCTGGTGGTTGAAGCTGCACCTTCACCAAAGCTGCATGGTTCAAAGTACTGGAAGAAAGATTATAGTCCAGAAAATACAGTTTTTGGGCAGATTTATAGACAACTAGGGCTGAAACTAACGCTGATTTTTGCGAATCAATTTGTCGATAAGTTTTTCGATCAATAGTTTAATAATTGAGTTAAAGAATATTTTCACTTGAGGAGTTCTGAATAGAGCATGTTGACAGACAAACATCTTTTTTAGCTTTAAAGCAAAATGTTTATATTCACAATCTTAGGATAATAACTCTTCTTAGTGGGTCGCTCTGTCAGCTAAAGACATGTTTTACAGTCTCTAAACTCCAGTTAACGATTAATCGATATTAATCGATTACTAAAGCCCCTGTCACACCTCGAAGATTTAGCCAGCATATGCCTGAATACGAAAAATCAGACAAAATGCTGACACACGCTGGATAAGTTATGAGTCAGTTCTGTATAGGTTATGAGCACACTGAAATACGCTGGCATACGTCAACATACGGCAAGTACCATTGGTCCTGACATTTGCCAGCATATGCTAATCCATGGTCCATCAGTTCCAGGTCAGGTATCTGATGGTTGTCATCCGTTCAGTGTCAGTTCCTCATCAGTCGTGGCGTCTAGCTGATCCTTAACCTCTGAGTAACATCTGTGTAACTTATCCAGAACTTCTCTCCAAGCATATCAAGGTATCTGACGTGTTCCAGACGAGCGCTGAACGTGTTTCTAACTTCCAGCTACTGTATAATGGCGTATTGGCAGCGTTTTGGTATAAAGGGGGTTCACAGGAGGAAACCGTCAGTTCTCCTCCAGACTTCATCTCCATCATAGGGTGAGCCAGAAGGTGAGGGTGATGGATCCTCCCTGCGTTCACGCCCACCACCAACACACTTCCTAGCAGACATGATGCTCAGTCTGCTGACACCAAAAACCTTCTTTCTTTCTTTATCTTTTTTTTTTCTATATTCTTTTTTCTGGCTGGCGGTAAACAGCAGCTAGGTTAATACCGCGAACAAAGACATCCTTTTATGCAGACCTCCGGGCGCATGGCTGCCCCCCTCAGGAGCATCGCTTAGCATTGATGAGCAGCTTTAACTGATGCCTCGTCATGCCCGTGAAATGATGCACAAGTATCATTTAATGGGCAATACGAGGCAACGCGCTGTATTACGAGACAACGCGCTGCATTACGAGGCGACGCGCTGCATTACGAGGCGACGCGCTGCATTACGAGACAACGCGCTGCATTACGAGATAACGCGCTGCATTACGAGGCGACGCGCTGCATTACGAGACAACGCGCTGCATTACGAGACAACGCGCTGCATTACGAGACAACGCGCTGCATTACGAGGCGACGCGCTGCATTACGAGGCGACGCGCTGCATTACGAGACGACGCGCTGCATTACGAGACAACGCGCTGTATTACGAGACAACGCGCTGCATTACGAGGCGACGCGCTGCATTACGAGACAACGCGCTGCATTACGAGGCGACGCGCTGCATTACGAGGCGACGCGCTGCATTACGAGACAACGCGCTGCATTACGAGGCGACGCTCTGCATTACGAGGCCACGCTCTGCATTACGAGGCCACGCGCTGCATTACGAGGCGACGCGCTGCATTACGAGGCGACGCGCTGCATTACGAGGCGACGCGCTGCATTACGAGGCGACGCGCTGCATTACGAGGCGACGCGCTGCATTACGAGGCGACGCTCTGCATTACGAGGCCACGCGCTGCATTACGAGGCAACGCGCTGCATTACGAGGCAGCGCGCTGCAGTACGAGGCGACGCTCTGCATTACGAGGCCACGCGCTGCATTACGAGGCCACGCGCTGCATTACGAGGCAACGCGCTGCATTACGAGGCAGCGCGCTGCAGTACGAGGCGACGCTCTGCATTACGAGGCGACGCGCTGCATTACGAGGCAGCGCGCTGCAGTACGAGGCGACGCTCTGCATTACGAGGCGACGCGCTGCATTACGAGGCGACGCGCTGCATTAAGAGGCGACGCGCTGCATTACGAGGCGACGGGCTGCATTACGAGGCGACGCGCTGCATTACGAGGCGACGGACTGCATTACGAGGCGACGGACTGCATTACGAGGCGACGGACTGCATTACGAGGCGACGCGCTGCATTACGAGGCAACGCACTGCATTACGAGGCGACGGGCTGCATTACGAGGCGACGCGCTGCATTACGAGGCGACGGACTGCATTACGAGGCGACGGACTGCATTACGAGGCGACGCGCTGCATTACGAGGCGACGCGCTGCATTACGAGGCAACGCACTGCCATGCTTTATGCAGAAGTTAGGCTGTCGTTGGACACAAGTTCTGGACTCGTTATGAATACTCTATGTATACGCCCAGAATAGAATGGCATGGGACAATTTATGAAAACCGTCCGAACCGTTCGGTTCGACTGTCTCGGTTCGGTTCGCGTGTGTCTCGTTCGGTTCATGCGCTGCTCCTTTTTCTCATAGGCGAAGCGTTTACACTCCAGAGCAGAAGGTGGCGGTACTGCCACTCAAGCCAACCACCAGCAGTAAACAAGAAGAAGAAGCGAAGCAGCGTAGCCGGGTGTAGCAGAAAAAAATCAGTTGTGGAGAATTGTGTCGGACTGGCGAGTGGGAAAGAACAGGAGTTGGAAGACGCGCCAGCAGCACTTTATAGGTCTGCTGTATGGGACCACTTTGCATTTAGAGTGACCTACGATGACGGCGGAAAGAAAGTTGTGGATAAAAGTGCAACAGTGTGCGAGCATTGTGCAACACGTTTTGTTTATGCTAACAGCAACACGACCAACATGTCATGCTAACCCCGAAATCCCTCATACTCCGTCAGCGCTCCGCCCCGCTGCGCTCCAGACCGGCTGCTCAAAGCAAAGCCTACAGCCTCCACTGTGGCTCCCGTCCGCTCAGCTCTGAGGTCCTTGGAGATGGTAGAGAGCATGCGCCAGATGATTAAATTCAATTGATTGATTGATCCAGGGTTTCCGCGGATCATTTAAAATAATTACAATCCTTTATTTTTGATTTTTTCATTAATTTCATAAATTTTTATGGGATTTCTGTGTAACAATCAACATGTACCGAACCAAACCGAAAACCATGACCAGAAACCGTGAATCGAACCGAACCGTGGATTTTGTGAACCGTTCCACCCCTAATAGAAAGTTCAGCGTATGCCAGCGTTTTAGGAGATTCTGGGACGTCAGGCAGACGCTGGATAAATCATCAAGGTGAGACAGTAAGGTGAGCCTAAATTAGTTGATGATTTTTTTCAATAATTGATTAATCCAATAGTTTCAGCCCTAAAGACAGTATAAGTAATTTTACCCCTCCTTATACAAAAAAGGCACTGTTTATCTCAATAAACAAACAATAAAAAAAAAGAAAGTGTGAAACTGAAAACAGTCAGAAACAGGCTGCAGGTTTTTTTCAATTATCTGCGTCCTTCAGGCCAACAGGAAACACATGAATGGTGAAACGGTGTGATGGAAGCCCACCAGAGGGAAACAAGTGAAAATCCTACAGATTTTCCTTTTGGTTCCTGCATGAACCCAAACATTCTCCTCGAAGTCAACCTGCAGCTCTATTTGCTACCTGGTACTGATCAATGCAAGCAGATCTCTAAAGGGTCATTACTGGGCTTAGAATGAGAGTTACTAATTTAAATTAGGATGTTTTTATCGGCATTCATTAGATGCGTGTGTTGATTCGTATGATGGATGCACACGGAGATGAAACGCAGCGCTGAATTGTCCTCCTTCAAGCTTTAACACTGCTGCTTTTTTCTGTCTTTCCAGGGGAGTTTTCTGCTTTTAAATAATAACAGCCAGCACAGCAGTCCATCTCTCATCACCCCTCCGTTTTCTTTTGGTCCCTGGGATGGATTCATCGATTCCTGAGAAATAATAGAAAGGAAAAAAAAAAAAGAGCGTCTCACAGTGCCGGGCCGCCCCGAAGGAGATGCCTTCACTTTAGTCCCTGTCACAACGGAGAGGAAGGAAAAACACAAGATGAAGGGAAAAAGAACCAAAGATATGTGAAGCAAAGTGCGTTTGGAGGAAACCTGTGAATATTTGAGGCGAAGCTAACGGCTCTGGCTGCTGAACTGCATTTTGATGAACAGCAGATCCTCGCCAGGCGAAGGATGCCTAACGTTTCCACTCCTTACCCTTTCATCATTTCACTAGTTGTTTCCTAAAACGCAGACCGTCTGAAGAGCCGTCTGAGAGGAAAAGGTTTCCTCCAAGTTGTGCTGAAGGCTGCATCCTGTTTCTTTCAGATTTTGTGATCTTAGTTCTTAAAAGAAAACAAATCCTCACATGCTCTCACCTTTGGACCTGAAAAGCTAACCCGGTGATAAAGAACAGTTGATTATGTCTACAGGATTTTTAATTTCACAGTTTTAGGCTCCTAGAAAGGTGGGTTTTTTCAGGCATTCGATGCTCTGCCCTGTTTCTCAGCAACTTGTTGCTTTTTTGTTTGTTCTTTTATTTATAGCCTTTGGGATATTCTCTCCACATTTCCCTCAAACAATCTGGAGTCCACCAGCGACGCAAACATTTAACCTTTTAAAAAACGACTTTTTAAACTTTAAGAACCAACAAAACGCCACATTTCTAAACCAGCTTTGAGCTTCTTAGCTGCTAATCTTCCACTGGTTGATGATCCGTTGCTGTATTGGCTGTAGATCCACCAACTGACTCCAGATTGATGAAAAACTGGAATGCAGGTCTTTAAGTCTTCACGGTTTGCTTTTTCCCAGAGCAGGGTGGGCTTGGAGTGGACGGGTGAAGGTTTGGAAGCGAAGACCGTGTACAGCTGTCGTGTCTTTGGGCTTCCTAAAGGTCGTTCCTAAACCTTTTTTTTGTTCTTTCCTTTCTGCTCTGGGTTCAAATGTTGGCCCAACATGTTGAGAAGTTCTGTTAATTCTGAAGAAACTTTAAGTCTCTTCTCTTTTTTTTTCCAACTAATGCTACATCTTTCATTCATTGTGTGAAAATTTGAAGGTGTTTATTTATGAAGGGGTTCCTTGAAGTTGGTATCACATTTGTTTGCCTTCTACTGTACAGGCAGGCCTGCAGATTCTGACATATTTATAAGATTTTTCTTTTTTTCTTTTATTGAGGTCCAAATATTTTGGTTTAGAATAGCAGTCTTTGTTTTGATGCTTGTTTTAGTCTTTGTGACCTTTGCTTGTTGTTTCTAGAGAATCTGCCTTCCCCTTGTTCCAGGAACAATGACTCTATTTAAGTGCCACTTAGAGAGTGGTCCCCAGGAGCTGGACTGTGAAGATGATGTTGAACAGGCTCACAGATGCCGTTTAACAAGCGGAGTCCAACACAGCACAAAAAGCTTTCAGCCTTCATGTCAGCCTGTTATTTGCACTTTGTTTTTCCTTATTTTGCTTTTCATCCTGTTTTCCTGTCAAATCTTTTCTCCCGTGAAGTGAATATGGTCGCTAAATAAAGCCGCCATACGACTGTGAAACATCTGTAAGATTATTGCTGTGTCCTAACAGCTGCTCAGTGCCGTTATGTTTAGCTTCAAATGACCAAACAGAATCCAAACTCCAGATCTAATGCTGGCAGCTCAAGGAAAAAGGCTAAAAGCATCAGGTTGAGCTTAGTGAAGCATTATGTCTTTAATGTGAAGGAAAATATGGCGGAGTGTTCTCTACTGAGGCTTTGTCTAATACAGGGGTCGGCAACCCTGGAGCCGCAAAAAAAAAAAGTTTTCTATAAGCCTTGTATGGCGACACAGGCTTTAAAGCCTGGTTTATGCTCAGAAACCAGGTCGTCTGTCACCCCCCACCCCCTTCCCCAGACAATTGTAGGGGACCGCAGTGCAGAGCGGATGGAGAACTGACCAATCAGAGGCCTCCTGTCTGCTGCAATATGCGTATTTCCTGTTTGGTGCCTGCTACACCTCAGACGCTATCCCAGATACCGTGCAGAACGCTAGTTTGTAGCTCTTTGTGACGGTGTGTTGGTTTGCGCCCGAAACACGCAGCGCCACAGCCAGTCTTTGGGGATCACTCACGGGTGAGCTGTGTGTCGTCCGCCGTCGGATGAGGGTCTGTAGACGGTGAACACGCTCGTCAAACCGACACACGGACGCCCACAATCCCAGCTAGTTCGTTGTGTTGTGGCGTGGAAAAACATAGCGCAGACCACGCTTTAAAATTGGGCATAAATGAAAAATATGTGCGTCATACTTGCGACACGCTAACTGCGACGCACTGCTGCGGGAGGATAACCAGCCCTTTAGCTTATTAGCCAACTATTAAAAGGATTACGTGGGTTTAAATATATAATAAACATTGATGACTAAATGTTTATCCTGGAGCAGATGTTACATCCTGCGAATCTGCTGATGTTTGCTGCTTTAAGTTTAAACTCCATTACAATATTAATTTATTTGGATTGTTTGCATTGATGAAATCATAGAAAGTTATATTCATTTTTATTTAGAGGATTTTGGGGGGGAAAAATGGCAGAAAGTTCCAATCCCTGCATCAGAGCGCTACCTGTTGGATCTATGGACGGTTTTCCATCTTAGCAACCAAACGAGCAGCAGTAGTGGAGTATAGAGATGCAATCCACTTGTTAAATCTATCTTTGCTCTCCTCTAAATTATCCAGAAGTTCTGGAATCGCACTTTTTCTCCCCCTCCCAGCTTGGTGGTGGGCTGCAGATTTAGTCTTCCCTGGAAATGCCTTTCCTAATGACTCTTTTATTATTTGACAACATTCAAAGCAAACATGCAGGCAATCCTTCCTCATTGGTAATAAAAGCAAATGATTCGCTGCCTTCTGCTCTGAATCCTCTGTTCTCATCAGCCATCTTCCTTTTTTCCCCTTTGGGATCCGTGGTCTGAGACACACCTGTAGCTTTGTCTACATCAGCCACCTGCCTGGCGCCGCGCCACGCCGCGCTGAAACCTTTCATTGTAAAGAGCGTTTGGAGCTGCGCACCTCCACAACAGACATGCACCTGTGTATATATACGTTTCATGAAGGACTGCAAAGCTTTGCCATCTGATGAAAAAAAACACCCTTCTGACTGAACATGAGGATTAGATTTATTGCTGCAGGATGGGAGTCATTTTCTACTAGCCTTTGGTTAAGCTTTGTCTCACACCAATAATATTCTCTGTGAAAACGTCTGGAAGCCGAAGGAAGGACCGACCATGGCGGCTGGTCAGTTTCTGTCTAATCCAAGATGTCAGATCATCTTTACGATTATTTTAAATGAATTTCCTCCTGAGAATTAATTACAACACAATCACACAAAAAACAGTCCGATTCTGATATTCCTAATTTAGAGGAACAGATTTCAGAGTCTGCTTATTTCTGTCAACATAAAATCGGAGTAGAAGCTTCTTCCTCCTAAATGCTGCCCGGCTTTTAGTGGATTTAATTTCTGCTTTTGTCACATCCAGCTTTTATTAGAAAAGCAGGTCAGGGTGCCTTTAAGCTGCTGCAAGTCATTCAGCACGTCCTCCAGACTTCCTCAGAGCATAAATTACAGGATTGAAGCTGGAGAACACAGTCTGCCATTGTCTGAGTTAAGGATAACTTCCATCCTTAAAGAGGATCCTAACATGATGATATGGACTTTAAAGGAGAAGTCCGCTCAGAATTCAAACCTCTGAAAGTACTTTAAACATGAAAGTAGGACCTCCTCTTCAATAAATGATTAGTTTTTTTTAATTCAGAGTATTTTTTTAAATGTTCTTTACTGGAGGCATCCATGTTTGTCAAAGAACACTACTGCCACCTACTGGTTTGTGACGTCACAGTGCGGTATCGGCTGTTGATCAAGTCCCAGTGCTGTATCTGGTGTTTGTCGTAGCAGGTGAGAATGGCGCTACGCTTACCGCACCGTGACGTCACTGCTGGAACATGGCAAGAGAGAGGTGTTACTATATTCGGGCAAAAATGGCCGCTCCCAGACTCGATGATAATGAGGAAAATTGTTTTTTTTATTTTAATTTTTTTACTGATTAATGCTAAATTCATTAAATCACTGCAAACATATTAGTTTTAGGTATAAATAATGATCCAATGATTATTCCTTGATGACCAGACTTTCATCACTTTGCTGTCATGCGAGTTTAGACTTTGATACGAGAGGAATCCCAGCTTCACGAAACTCCAGCCTGAACCTCTAAAAAGTTTTTTTCTTTTACACTTTGAGCAACTAATTTCTGATCCGTTGAACTGAACAGTCATCTCCCAGAGGTGCCACGATGTTTCTCATTCTCTACACTTAAAAAAAATACATCTTTTCTGCGGATCTAAGGGATTTATCATCAAGTTCAGCTCTGTCACTGGGAGACCCACTCTATTCCACCCACATTCTGGCCATGCCTTAAACTTTATCCATATCCATCACCTTGCACCTTTATTTTTAAGTGCGACCTTTACAGCATTTTTTTTTTTTTTTTACCTGTAAATAATTGTAAAAAGAATTTACTGTCCGTTTGCTAGGAGGCATGGAGAATTTAAATGTAACACTTTTCTTGATGCTCAAAAATATGGAGAAAACACTTTGAGATATTAATGCAAAAATATTTAAAGCTGTAAATATACTGAGAAGGCTTTATGTATTGGTTGTGAATATGAAAAACTGATATATTAAAGAAGTGCATGAAAAGTAAAACTTGTACAATGTCTTTTTTTTTGTACTCTTAGTCAAACTGTTTACGAATGGAATAAACTGTTCCTTTAAAGTCATAGGGAAGTTTTTTTTAAATATCAAATTATTCTGTATGTAAATGTACTCTTTATTAGACCATGTTATCCAAAAAGTTAGAAAATTCCTATTTGAAAAAAATCCTGTCTTAAGATCTGTGGGGTTTTTTCATTATCTTCTACAGGCCAGTTAGTTCTACATCAGCCTGAACACCTAAATTCAGCCAATCATATATCAACGGTCATCTGTCAATCAAATTTTTTCTTTCATAGCATCTTGGTTCATCTGTCGCAGCTAATATATGCAACGGTTGAAATCAGA